CTTGAAGACTCAAGGGCGCCAGTGGCCAACACCCAGGGCCAGTGTTTTCACCCCTTCGGCGTCCCGGCGGAGGTGCAGACGGTGGGTGAGGTGCCAGCAACAGCCCTGGAGCTTTCTCACTTTTGTTGGCTTCAGTGGCCAATTGTGGTTGGGTTATAGAGCCTGTTCTCTTCTCTTTCTTGGGCATAAAACTTGACTGGGCTCTTGTTATTCTTCTAGATATTTTTGCCTTATTTTTGAGTAGGTTACCTTCACTAAATTTAGAATTATTACCACATAGTGCGTGTTTGCTTTCTTCGTGTTTTGATACCATCCAAGTCTTTTTAGCAGAAGACGATCCAGTAGACATAAATATATTCAGAGACGTGCATTCCTTATTTGATTCTTCAGTATTAACATTTGGTTTTGATATATGAGGGTTTTCCTGATGATTTTTTAGGAACATGAGGTTTGAAGGTTGAGCAACAATACTCGAATTAGTCTTAGGAGCATTATTTGTAGTTAGAACATATTGCAGCTGTGCAGAAGATATTTCACTGGTGTCTTTTTCATAGCATTTTCCACTTTCTATTATTATCTGGTTAATTTGATCACACCATCTTAGCTTTCTATTGTATTTTTCATTTTTTGCACTTTTCTTTTTCATTTTTGCCAGCTCTACACTGTCTCTAATAGAAGACATGGGTCGAGTTCCAAAATTGATCCCGTGGTGGTACTGTGAATCTACATTTCTCAGACAATTATTGAGATGCATATTTTTAGAAGTACTTTGAGGTATATAAAGCAAATCATTATTCCTCGTTTGTGATTTTTCTGGATTGTACAGGACACAGTCACACTGTGAACTCAAAGATGATTCACTCCGTGTTGTGCAATTTCCATTTTGTTCTCCAGCCTCAAGACTGTCGAGGCTTGACAGGCTATCTGAATCATCTGCTTTCTTGACTTCTTGATAAAAATTCTGAAATATAGGCATAAAAACAGACTGTTACATTTATCAGAACTATTTTTCTGCTGATACTAGCTTTTCATTAATGAGAGCTTAGGTTAAAACACAATCAATATTAAGCCTGGTGTTTTTATGATGGGGTCATAGCACCATGAGTACTTCCATCATAAAAATCTACCTGTGTTCAGTTGCAAAAGAAGATTATGTAGTTTAGGTATGAAATTACGAGGAAGGGGCTGCACAGTTCAACAAATCTAATACCTAAATTTTATATAAATTCTACAATATGAACAAAATTTGTCTAAACAACACTGCTGTTTCTAGACTGCCCTATGTCACAGGATGACTCCCTAACACGTAAGGAAGTTTAAAAAATGAAGGACAACCTATGAAAAATGCAGATTTGAGAGAGGTTTTACCCCAGACCAGAATTTTTCATAATACTAGCCTGAATATATTTATTTTCTTACAAAGTGCCACAAGCAGTGAGGGTTTAAGCCCTGCCGTGGCAAACACAAAAAGCATCTCTGAGCTGTCATAACCGCAGCGATTAACACCTCCCCTCAGTGAAACTCCCGCTTCTCATCTTTCAGAAAGAAGAAAATATCATCTCGTCTATGAGGACAGACCCGGTCTAAGGGCATACAGGAGTCCCATCGGTGTCGTGATGCCTAAGAACAACTGGCACCATGCAAATCACCATTGGGACAATTTTAGGTATGTACTATACAGGCATTTTCTTCACTATTACTTCTCCATCCAATCACTGAGATCCTGACATGGTTGAAAATACGTACTTTTTAAAGCATAAGATGTCAAAATACACATAAACACAAAGGAAAACAAGCACAGCAACTATTTCCACAGTCTCGTGCCCTGTCTCTTGTGGAAGCTCAGCAGCTAAGTGATTTTAAACCATACCTTGAAAAAAATAATGAAAAATTAAGAGTAGGCTGCATTAGATATGCAATTTTACGCAATGAAGTTTGTTTTTTTTTATTAGTGACTTAAAATGGAAAATGCTTCAAGTAGCAAAATATGTTAACCTAGCTAAGTGATTATATATCCCCTGGCAATTACCATAGAATTAACATTTTGAAAATTTAGCAAAAAAAGAGAAAATTCATAAGTGAATACAAACATATTTTTACAGTAAACCTTTTTTTTTTTACTCCAGTAGAATTGTAATACCATAATATTGCATAGTTTATAGCTGTAGAAATATTTTAAATTGCAGAATAAGCAGCTTAGTGAGTCCTGAAAGACATTTCATGATGGAATTAAATCTTATCTTGCACTAAATCTTCAGAAGTTGGTGAAGTCTCCCATTATAGTTATGATCTGAGATAAACTAAATAGAAGAAAAAAGAACCAAGTGTAGTGAAAGATCCCTTTAGGGAACATTTTTCAACTAAAGCTACACAAACCAGTGTCTTTCTAATAAGAAAGAATAAATAACGCTTCGTTAGTTATTTATTAACCTTTATGTTTGGCTAAATTATATTGTTAACCTCTGCTTGAACTTCACCAAACAAGGCCAAATTTAAGGACTAACCTTGACATTTTCAGATGGGAAAAATAACAGTAAAAAGGAATTATAGGTGTCATGCTTAGTTCTTATCTAATTTGGATACCACCTGCCTAGCTAAACACGTCCTTCTAAAATGACTCAGTTAAAGAGAAAAAAAAAATTTAAGAATTGATTTTAAAAAAACTGTTTTGAGAGCAGGTTAGCCTTAAACTGGTAAATCTGGAGGGTGCAAGAAAAGTTGCAGATTTTAAAAACTACGATCAATAAATTCTACCCAGTTTTGCTCCAAGGCTTAAAAGATCCTGCATTATATATACTTTTCCTCTCCTTGTAAAACAAAATCTCATGTGAACACGAAATCCGAGTTGAAGCAATCCCAGAAATAGGTTAGGAACTAAAGAATAAAGGAGGATTTCTTATTTAACCATATGCTCACTTTCACTTAGTTCATGGAAATTTAGTTAATTTACATTTATTTTGTGGCATCATACAATTTCATCATTTCACACATTAAAGATGCTTATCATTCCTATTAAAATATGTACATATTTTATTTCCTTTTCTAGCCTACTCTGTAATGAAAATGAATGTCATGTTTTCTTGTAAAAAAGCATAACAAGAGCTACTTCTGCAGACCTAAACAAGCATTTAACAATAATTCGTTTTTTAGTAGTCAATAACTACAGAGAAATAAACCTGGAAATCCCAATGATTTAATTTCACTTAATCTGTGAGATAAGGAAACAGAAGTTTCATAGAATGTATCAGCTTTTTATATTCTGGATTTGCATATTTTTTCTGTTCTGTAAGTACAATTTACGGTATTACCTGTTGCCTGCATATCTTATGTCCTAATGCATGAAATCTAAATCTAGTCTGGCCACATACTTGGTATTCTAGGAAAGGGAACACTTACAAGGAGTTAAAGACGTTGCTTGTATCTCCTAAGACTTGGAACAGCTGTGTCAGGCAATTTCATTTCAGTAAAGCACTAAAATGAAAATATGAGCCTAAGAAATCTTGCATGAAGCCAATGAAAGAACAAAACTGCAACAAGTAAAAATTTAAGAGAACCTGACAACTGAATTTTCTGCCAAAGCACCCTGTCAGAATGCTATAACACTAAAGAGCTCCTATATGCATATTTGACATTTTCTGCAGAAAGAAGTGCTGACTGTTCACAATTCTGAGAGGTGAATGGAAAAAAAAAAGACAAATGCTGGAAAAATGCTACTTACTTTGAAAATCCAGGTCCCTCACCTTTCACACAACTTGCTGGTTTTGATAATAAATTAATAATGTAATAATTTAATAATTTAATAATGAGCGATCCTTTTTGTGTTACAGGGGTGTGTATATATAATATTATCCTTCACATTCACTGTGAAATAAAAGACACCAGTGGTCGTACAGATACAAAGCTACATCTCAAAGCCAGTGAGGATCCTAAACACTTTTTCTGCTTTTGAGTTTACCAACTATGGAATAGGAAAGTCCATAAGAAAAAGTCATTTAGAAAATTAATTCTATTTCTATGCACATTCAGAAAACATAATGTACATGGCACTACACAGCAGTGGCTTCACAGAAGATCTGGGCAGACCCAAGAAAGCAAACGCCACTGAGAAAGGACTGTGGTGGTTAATTACACAAGAGATCCACCAAACTGCGCCAAACCCACCAAAGAAGATACGAAGGCGTGGGATGACCAGAGAAAAGCTTTCTGTTAACAACCCCCCTATCTTTCCTAGACTAACTCAGAGGCACCCCAAGCTATCTAGGATGCAGAAACTATCTATTTATGAATGTGAGTATTTATTTAAAAGGACCTGATTTGCCTGTTGGGGAAATCATCGCACGTTGTTAGAAATATAGGTTCAAGCTTCTTGTCATAATTTCGCAGGCACTCAGGGACTTCGGTAAGCCATACTGGACTTCCAGTTTTAATGAAATCCCGAGGTAAATGTACATAACTGTGTAGGAAACAGGTTTTCAGCTAAATGTTTTTCTCTCTATTAATTAATTTAGCATCTCAATACTTGGTGTGCTGCTTCTCAGGATGCCTGTTGTGGGTGCCTAACTCTCACAGACTAACCTAGTCATTCAGCTCCAAAATGGAATCCATAACGCTGTCTTTTAAATACTGCTAAAATCATTAAATGATTGAGGCACTGAGTACCACATGCATTAGTCTCTGTTTTGTTCCTAATCCATCAATAAATTTATTCTGAGCAGGCAATATCTAACTTGTAAATTTAAGAGATGGGGTCATGTAAAAATGCATAACTGAAAACTGTCATAAGGCAAATAGACATGGAGAAAAATTGGTTGTCCATATGCAATATTAAATCTAGAACTTAACTGCTTAACTAATAATAATTTTAATGTTACATATAAAATGCAATGACATATTTAATGAACAAATTCATAGTTGCTTACAAATTATGTTATACTCAGTGTCACACTGGTTATTCTGAAACAAGGAGAATGGAGACCAGCTAAAGCTTCGCAATTTTCACTTCTTTGGAATTTGTAGCTTGTAGGAGAAAGGGTATTTTCAAAAAATATTTCATAGATGAAGCTATTCCTAGACAATCCTTTAGAGACAGAAATGAAAGGGAAACAATTCTCAGAGACTTTTCTCCATTTTAAAGCAAAGAAATAATCCTCTCTCTCACTGATGCTTAAGGTCTTAATGATGAGACTCAAAGGCCTGAAGCTATCCTTTTCAGAAAAGTTTTCCAACAAAGTCTGATTTATGGGGAAGAAGAGAAGAATAACTGATGGTGGAAAGTATTTTATCATCTTCTAGAAAACTCCAAATCTGTCTTCCTTGTTTATTCTTATTGACAAATATGGCAAGGCATTTGGTTTGACAGATTTGAATGAACAGCAGTTGTAGCATCAGAAAAAAAGAAATACTACTTGAGGAGTACACACCTCCTAAAAGACTCATAGTCTGTGAATGCAATTTTTAAAAGAATCCCACTACATCTCTCTGACTTGCTAAAAATACTGTAATTTTCTGCAATTTATAAAAAGCATTACTTTTTCTTTTAGCAACATAAATGCATTGCAAAGACGGAGCATTTTTTAACATTTGCACACTATCTTGTGCACTGCAGAGCAGCAACCAAGGCAGAAGGTGGATTTATATTAGGAAATCCTAAGGGTTGCCTACAGAAATACTTTTAAAATCACAGAATATTCCAAGTTGAAAGGGACCCACAAGAATCATCAAGTCCAAAGCCTGACTCCACACAGGGCAAACTGAAAGTTAAACCACATATCTAAGAGCATTTTCTAATATTATATATTTATACCTCTCTAGAAATAAGTTTATCTAATGAGACAGTTTCATCTCATTTCCAACATTCACTGCATGCTTCATTAATATAATCACTTATCTTGAAAAAAATATTTAGTGACTGTTACATGTTACCTATTTTTCAGCCAGGTATTTTTCAAGACATACATTCCC